TTTTTTTTTTTTTAGAAGGAAAGAAGTTCTATTTAAATTTAGCAACAGGACGATCAACATACGAGTAGTAAACCTGACCCGTGAGGAAGGACTCGACATCACCCCCTTTTTCTTTTCTTGCTTTCCTTGCATTTTTTTCCCTACAACAAAGTTAATCACTGAAAAATATATTGCTGAGAATGCAGAAAACTGCAAAACTGAGGGGGCTGGAGGGCACTTACAATTTTACAATGTGGAGAGGAACAGAGGGACCAGTAGGGGACTGGGGGACGTCAGACTTGGTGTGCCCAGCTCCTTGGCGGCCTGCAGGGGGGCTGGTGAATGATGGTACTTCTTGTCTGCTGAAAAAGACCAGAGCCTTCCACAGGAAGGAAACCAGTCTGGGATGAAGGCATCCTCAGTGGGGGGGAAGTGAGACTGCAGTATCTGCTTATTGGTCTCCTGGTCTCATTCCCTTTAAATCTTTCCTTCACACTGTCTCCCTCTTCCTGACCTCACCCCCAACAATCTCCTCCCACCGTGCGTCTGGGATTTCACTCTGGGAACAGCCCCCCGTGGCATCCTGCAGCCGGCCCTCTGCAGAGCCTCATCTTTTGGACCAGCCTCAGATTTTATGCTGTGTGGATGCTCATTATTTTTTTCTTTGCACTTCCATCCTTTGGGGCTATGTGATCTTGGACCATGTGTTGAATTGTTCTGTGTCTCACATTGCTCATCTGTAAATGTTGCTCCTAAGATTGTGCAGGAATTAAATGAGCTGATATTGTGCAGGGTGAATGATAATGGCTCTAGAAAGGTTAGCATTCATTGCTATTGCTCTTGCTGTTCTTTTGAGCCTGAATGTATTAAATTTTTATTACTGCATTAAAAATTATCACAAGCCTAGCACTTTAAAATGTCGCCCATTTATTATTATCTAACATCTTACGTGTGTCGGAAGTCTGGTCATGGCGTAACTGGGTTGCTAGCTCAAGGTTTCACAGGATGGAAATCAAGGTGTTAGTGGAGGCTCAGATTTTATCTCAGCATCTTTCAAGCTTCTTCAAAGCTCATATGGTTGGTAACAGAATTCGTCTCCTTACAGCCATGGAACTTGTGGTCAGCAGTTCTGACTTTACCTTCTTGTAAAAGTTCCTCTGATTAAGTCAGGTAATCATTTTTTTTTTTTTTTTTTTTGGTTAACGCAAAGCCAACTCATTAGTGACACAACCACAGAGTGATGTTTCATCATATTCACAGATGTCACTTGCACTCAAGGGGACCAAATGACACAAGATGTGTGCATCAGGTGGCAGGATTCTTGGGGGTCATCTTAAAGTCGTGTGTGCACACTGAGTAATTGGGAAACACTATGTATTCTGTTCAATGTGTTGAATTGCATTCAGATGGACTCACATCAGCCTGGCTCCTGGAGCTGACATTCCCTGTCCTATAGTTTTCACTAACCAGTGGGGCGAGTTAGAATCTTTGGAAGTCTTCTAGAAAGAGGACCATTAGAGACTTGTAACCGATAAACCTCTTGACTAATACCGGGAATTCCAAAAGGAAGACCTGTAATATGCAGTCCCTTCCAGACCATTTGTTTATTCTTTTTTTTTTAATTTTTTTTATTAAATCATAGCAGTGTACATTAATACTATCATGGGGTACAGTGTAC